GATGATGATGATTATTATTAAATCAAATTACATATCCATGTAAGATTTTTCTGCATTATGTTGACGAAATTTCCTTTGACGTTCAGCATTTGATTTTGGTACTGTTTTTTGTTTTGTTTTTTAGCGTGAGGTTTTTTTTCGTTACGGAATTTCTGGATTCGGTCCCCGCTCTCAAGGCCCTCGATAGAAGCTATGCAATAGCTTAAAAACAACAGCTGAAATTATTAGTATTCTAGTTAACCCCTCCAGCTAAGCTAAATTGCTTGTGTTGGGAGTGAGTTCACTTTGGAAATATACTGGTTAGGTTTTGAGCCTACGACCTCTTGATCACAAGTCCAATGCCCAATGCCTTAACCACTAGGCTACCGCCGCTTTTAAAGTGTTACTAAAGTCTAGTTCTTAGCAGGAAAAATAATAATAATAACCTCACACATCTCACACACGGCTGTCTGATCCCAAACTAGGCAGAGCCTGTACTATGGTAACCAGACTGCTGATAAACATACTTATATATTTCTAAATACATACATATCATTGAAAAATTACACCCAGACAGCCTTTCTTGTTTTTTGTTACAAACGTTTAGAATCATTACCGCTCCAGTGCCAACCCTTATTTATTGTATTATTTTATACCAAATTCGAAACTTACCACTCTTACTCTTTTAACATATTTTTTAAGAAGTTCATATCACGATTACGGTTTTTGTTTTAGGAACTTATTGATTGAATTCACATACATATCACGTTTTATGATTGAATTTAGCAAATATCAGAGTAACAACAATTTTGCTTACGTCTCTAAATTGATAAAATATACAAATATGCATTCTGAGTAGATCACACATTGGTGGTCCATATATGGAAATATCAGCCTCCAGGCAATTTTTTTTTACTGCTTCCAATATAAGTTGTTCATTTTCAAACTTCTTCTCCAGGTGACTTGCCAATTCTTCTCTGTCTATTTTTCTATCATCTCCGTAGTATCCCAATTTTTTAGCTAAACATTCATCTTCGTCACACTAAAACATATTTATAAAAACATGTTCTAATTTAATTAAATACAAACGAAAAAAAATCTTAGTGCGATGGTTTTTTTTTAATATTTTATGTAGTGCAAGTTATATAGAATTTTATTCAATGTTTTCCGTACATAATATTAACAGGCTTTTCTAAATAAATAAAAAAATATGAAGATAATATACACAATTATGCATGCTAAGAAGATTACACATTGGACGTCCATGTGTGGAATTTTGAATTTTTTTACATTCATTAACAGCTTTTAATAGTCCAGAAAGGAGGTTACTTATCTTATTACTCATTTTTTATTTCATTTTTAAAGTCTGTTAAAAATAACATGTAAAGGTAAATTTTAATAATACCTACATACTTACAATAAATTTAACTGGTGCTGACTTATGTCAGTCAAAAAAACAAGATAATAAAAAAAAATATCGAATATATTTTTTATATAACACAAAACATTCATGAGACCGGTTTTCATTTAACCGACTTAGCGAATTATCATAACATGTTATGATTACTTTCTTGGACCGTTAAATTATCAAAGTTTTTCAGCACAAGTTTAAGTAAATATAGAGTAAACAAATGCACATGTAAGTACATTTAAAGAAGGCACAATATTGTGATACTGAATTTTGGAATAACCCCCGACTTCATATTCGTCAGATAAAACCTGGACATAACTCGGCGTATGAAGTAATCAGATACATAATATGATTTACTTACCGAGAGAGGATGTCCTGGATTCTTAAAACACTCCTTAATTTCTGGTAGAAACTGCATTTCCGGGCTTATATGCGTAGAAGTACAACAGCTCATCACAGCCTGTATCGTAAATATTAATTTATTTAGATACTTAATACTATAATTAATAATTAAAATATATTTTTTATAGTACTCGTATATTGTTTAAAAAAATCTTATTACATTAGCTTTTTACCTACACGAGTTATGTTTTATGTTGGAAAACCTGTGTTATATATTGTTTTATTTTAGACCTGACCTTTCTAGCAAATCGGGTAATAAGACTATCTTTATGACTGATTTAGACTTATTTGTTCACATAACACAGTTTTTTTGTTACGTTTCACGCCCCGAAGTCACTCTACTCTGAGGAAAGTTCTTTTGTTTTGAAAAATTTAAATATTCATGTCAATAATGTTCAAAAATGCCCAGTATAATGGACAGTGGCAGACTTAATAGCGTAGGTATAAATTGTACTTACAGGGCTCATTTCGTTACATTTTTCCAATTTATCATCGTCCATGGCAGCCTTAAAAAAAAAATCAAATTTGTTATAATTAAGAAACTTAATGCTATTATATTTTTTGGGGTTCCTTTTCTCATAGATTAAGAAACATATTTATCAATCAATAATGAATAATGTTTAGAGTGCGTATTTACGTACTTGTATGTAGTCCATTTTAAAAAAAGTAGTTCGCATAACATTTCCAACGTATTACTATTTGTGTACCTATAGAATGTATTTAAAATTTAACATTTTATTTTAACTGCATCAATAGCACTTTACCACAAATCCTGTATATTATTTAATATTAGCTTCTGCGAGCGGCTTCATGAGTATCTAAATTATTTTTCTCTCCCTCAGAAGCAGATAGTAAGTCTGGGTGAAAGGCACCTCATCTCTATATTTCTATCCCTGACAATGTGTTATGTACAATTTATTGTATTATATGACTACTTAGGGTGTGAAAACTGAGAAATTAAATAACCACGCTAACAGTCGTATCTAGAATAATAGTAGAAGTTAAGAGTACGAAGAGAATCTCGATTTAATTACTTTTTGAAAATGTACTTATGAGTGATAATGAGAGTTTGGTTGAGAGTGTTTTTGAAATTGTAATAAACTTACCAAAGCCACGACTACAAACAGAGGGAACACAACAACACCGAACATGATTTTTGTGTACAGAATCAGCGTGTATTCTTTTTTATATACTAAACACCTCAGAATAATTTTAGCAATTCAATTTAATTGGATCGTCAAATACCAGAAAATTTGCACCTTCTCAATTATTATATTATTCTGTAAATTGGGTTGGTCCCAGTAATACAGTACAGTCACGTACAAACGAGATAGATTACATTATTTTATGATTAAGATATACATCTTTTTGTCTCCACCCTTAGTGTTAAAGATATATACTTATCAGAGAGAGAAAGAGAGAGAGAGAGCCGTAATTAAGTCGAACACGATGCCATTAATAAAAGTTTGGTCAGATTGGAGGTGTTCTTTAGGAAGTCAAACATGTGAATCGCGACATTGATGTCGAGGTACTACCGGAGTACCTCGTTGGAAACTTGGCTTGTATTTTTGGACTGTTTCGTTTTATATTTGTGACTATTGTTAACTGGACTTTGACTTATGCTTCTGATACTGCTGGAGTTGATGACCTATATGAACGAGAAGTATGTTCACATTTTGATTTCTTACGAATACTGCCAATGCGTATTCGCACGGGCGCCTAGCTGAATACATAGCACGCCATGCCGGCCGTCAAGTGCCAGATATTATTGTGTCGGACGGAGCCTAACGAAAAACCAGACTGACCGGCTCTCAAGGCGATGATTTGATCTGGGCAGGTCACGTTTTACTGATGTATAACAATAGTAATGTAATACAACTAGATAGTTTAACCATTTAGATTGGATCCAACAAATTCAATCAATAATGTTTGCAGTATAACTTGGACTCTGACAGTGGGAAGAGTGCTGTGAATGTTGCGGGCTTAAACCCATATCACTCTACGCCACTGGTACAAGTTATTGCAGAAGAAGATACTTTGAATAGATTGGATTTTTTGCAGATTTGTGCTTATTTCAGATTTAGAAGACAGGTTATTTTATTTCTAAGACATTTCATGGATATGAGTCTAAATTTGATAAAAACGGTATACCCAATTACCTCAGTGTTAACTATTGGGCGCCTAAAGCACTGATAAATCCTAATATTACGAGCGTAAAGGAGCCCCAAAGACGCTTCAATTTGAATGTGTAAATGAGTATTGTCAAACCACTGGACTGGATCTTTTTGTCTCCCCGGGAACAGCACTAAAACCTTTTGGGTACAAAATTTAACTAAGTTATTCCACCACTCCTCCTCTGCGACTCCTCCTTCTTGTTTCCCATCATTCCTTCCTTCTTGTTTTTCCATTGTGCTCGCCTTTTTTGTTGTTTTATTTGATCCTATTCTATTGGTTTTTTCATTATAATTTGCCATAATTAAACCCACGAGTCGGGGAGAACTAAAGGTCCACCCGGGCAGAGATCCCCCAATACCCGGGCAAGCGTAAATTTATGCCCAACCGAGGGGTCCGCAAGTGCCCCGGCTGGGAGTGCGCTTACGACTGAAGTACCCATCAGCCATGCATCCCCTGGCCACGCACCAGAACACGGGATTCGGGGAATTTTTTAGAGAGGTCTTCTTCCTCGGTCCGGGCGGTTAAGCCAAGACCCTCGCCCCCGATCAGAGCGTCACAGCGATCACAGCCAGATCACAGCGCTCTTCTCGGGATTACGATATGCCGACGGTGACAGGGAGACTACGTCCCCCTGCCTGCTCGGTGGTAGTGTTATCAGTTATTATGCACCGTTATCAGCGGAGAACCTGTGGCCCCTACAGGGCCCCACCTTCTGGTTTTTTACCGAGGTTTCCTCCTCCATGCTCCGAAGAGCGAAGAGCCCGCAGGGCAACCGGCAGACACGCCCACCCTGCTGGACCAGGCCTTGCCCGAGAGCCGATAAACGGCTTCCTCTTCTGCTAGAATATTAGCCGCTGGCGATAATCCTCTCCTCCAAGTGAACAAGGAGGAAACAGTGCCATCGCCAGCGTTTCCAGGGTGCACCACGGGGCGGTTTTCTAGCGTAGCACCCCATGCTAGCTAACCCATGCTAACCCATGCTGTTAAAAATTCACCTGTTCTCCGTTCTTATTATGAGAGCAAAACCTAATTTAAAACACTAGTACTGATAGATTGTAATACTTGTGGTAATCTTACCCAACAATTTTTTGTCTTAAAATTATTATAATCGTTTATAGAAACCAGTGACATTATAATAAAAAATAAATAAAGAAACCTTCTCTACACTAATAAATGAAAAAAGAAAATAAGTTACATTACAAAAAACTGATTTAATCAGTATCATGCCTGAGATTTGTTAACAATTCGAATACCAAGGAACCCTTAGGATGGGCGCCTTGTATCTGTCTCAGTCTTATAAAGCACTGACCGTTGGTTGCAAAGTTTTGAAGTATATTCTAACAAGGGCTATAACTTAGTGTACTTTGTATACTAAATAGAGTTTATTAATAATTTATTTAAGTTAATTTTATTTATTTTATATGTTCATTAAGTTATCGTATCATCATCATCATCATCAACAGCCTTTCCACTGCTGGACATCGTGGTGTAGTAGGCCAAAACCTCCTTTCTAAGGAGAGGCCTATGTCGTGTTATACATTATGCTTAAAAGTTTATTGTACATATTCGGAGTAAGTAAATTTTTAATTATCGTTATAACTATTAACCAGACTTAAAATAATTTTGATCAGCAAGAAAGTTTTATTTACAACATAAATAAGTGGAATTAATTTTATGGAATAAAAGCCTGAATGGAACTCGCGTAAAAATTTAATCATAAATTGCTTGCAGCAAGGATTTGTTTTGTCTCGATACAAGATACAAGCCATATGTATAACTAATTCCATTAACAAAATTCAACCAACTCCTTAACGCCTTGGCATTCTTCTTCATTACTCCATGCGGTACAGTACTGTAAAATGAGAAAAGAAATAAAATGTTAATCTACAACTTTAATATGGCACAAAATTAAAATGTCAAAACATTAAAAGTATTGAAAAAATCTTGGCATTCAGATTATTATCTATTAGAACTAGTAACTCTGGGTAATGATGTGTGTATTTATTAGGTACTAGCTATGCCCGCCGTGAAATTTAGTTTTGGGTATTGTAAGTGTTCTATTTTATAATTAAAAGATACACTTTTTGGTAATTTGTTTTATTATACTTTACTTATGGTTAGGTCTTATCAACGACTGCCATGACAGGATGTGTACGGATGTTCATAGACTATATCAAAGTTAAGTGCCATAGACTAGTATAGCTTGGTTTACACAACACCTCCTTCCTAAAGATTTAATTTCTGGGGTGGTTTAATAGCACGACCACTCCTGGACAATTTCAACGGAAAATCAGTTTTGTCATTTACATCACCAGGTTCATTACACGGTTCAACTGGTTCATTATTACAGGGTGTAGAAGGTTCATTAATAATAACATTATTCCTGTCATACATCAAAGGGATCAAAGGATCAGACTTAAATACATTATTTTTACTCCGTGTAAATGAGGACTTTAATTGAGAACTATTGCGTCTTAAAAATGATCCACTGTCAGTAAGAATCACAAAAGATCTAGGCTCTTTAGAATGCTTAACAACCTTAGCTTTTAGCCACTTTCCTCCCTCTCTGTATACTACATGATCACCAGGCCTAAAAGTAACATATCTCTTGGCTCTCTTATCATAATGTTCCTTGGTAATAGATTGTTTTAACACTAGTTGTTTATATACATTATGTATTTTGGGTTTTAAACAATACATTGTACTTGGTACTAAAGTTCTCACATTTCTACTATTAAGTATTTGAGAAGGTGTAACATCTAGGCCTGAGAGTGGAGTATTATTGTATTGCATAACTCCTTCTCTATAGTCTGTCTTATCTTCTTCACATTTTCTCAAAATTTGCTTACTAATGTGAACAGCTTTTTCTGCCATCCCATTGCTTTTTGGATAATGTGGTGTACTGGTAGTTAACTGTATGTCCTTAGACTTAAAGTAATCCTGACATTCAGCAGATGCAAATGGATTATTGTCAGCAATCAATTCCAATGGGTAACCAAATCTAGTAAATGCACTTTGCATTGAATGAATTACACACTTTGAGGTTTTACTTGCTAGTGGCAACAATTCAAGCCAATGTGAAAAGTAGTCTACAATAACAAGAAAATATCTTCCACGAAAATCCAAGATATCACAGCCTACTTTCAAATATCTTTCTTTTGGAATTTTGTGTGGAAGCAAAGGTTCACTACAATTTTGAGGGCTGTACTTCTCACAAGTTCTACATTGTTTTACAAAGTTAATTAAGTCCGTTCGCATATTAGGCCAGTAAAATGTGTTTTTAGCTCTGTTTATACACTTAGCAATACCATTATGACCTTGATGTATTATTTCCATTATATATGATTTTAATGAACAGGGTACAATTAGCTTATGTTCGAAGAACAATAAGCCATCTTGTAAGTAAATGGTACCTTTTAGTTTTGCAAAACTTTGACAATCTTTAGTTATAGTTTTGGGCCATCCATGATGATAATAATTTATAATTTTGTTTAGAACAGGATCATTGTTAGTAGCACGTCTAAATACATTTTTCCTTTCAGGTGACATTGGTAAGTATCTAGATATAGAATGGACCATATGTAACATTTCACTATCATACTCGGTAACTTTGAGACTATTTCTTGACAACATATCTGCAAAATGAACCAATTTTCCCGGGACATAGTACACATTCAGATTGTACATTAATAATTTTAACCGTAGGCGTCTCAACCTAGGGGACCCCAGTTTACTGACATGCTTTTTAATTATAGAAACAATAGGTTTATGGTCTGTTTGAACATCCACTTCAAGTCCATATATAAACTTGTGAAATTTCTGTACTCCAAAATAAATTGCTAATAATTCTTTTTCTGTTTGACCATAATTTAACTCTGTATTATTCATAGTTCGAGATACACAAGCAATCAATCTAGGGATATTTTTATCATCATTCTGGAACAAGCAACATCCCAGCCCATTTTTACTTGCATCACACTGTATAATACATTTTAATCTTGGATCAAATGGAGTAAGTGCTGGTGTGTTACAAGCTCTATTTTTTAATTTTTGAAATGCTTCTTCATGTATTGGAAGCCAAGTAAATTCACAATCTTTTCTTAATAATTTACATAATGGTGACATAAGTTCAGCCATATCAGGTACATATCTTCTAATATAACTAAATGAGCCTATCATGCTTTTTAATTGCTCTTTATTTGTAGGTGAATTTAACTTTGTTAACGATTCAACCCGTGACTTATCAATACTCATGCCTTTTTCACTAAAAATTTGACCTACATACTTAACCTCTTTTTTTTTAAATTGAAATTTATCTTTATTAAACACAATACCTAAACTTTTGGCTTTACTAATTACAACATTTAATGTACTATCATGGTCCTCAACAGTAGATCCCATTACTAAGATATCGTCAGCCCATACAGTTACATTTGGTATAGTGCCAAAATGTGTTTCAAGAACATCCTGGAAGAGTTCAGGTGCATTCATAAGACCGTAAGGTAACACACAATATCTGTATACACCAAAAGGTGTTGCAAAACAGCACTTCCAAGATGCCCCTTCAGTCAACTTTAGATGATGAAATCCTTCGCTTAAATCTAAAACTGAAAAATATCTCTTTCCTTTCAATTTACAAGCAATTTCATCTAAAGTTGGTAAAATTTTAGGCTTTTTAACAATATATTTATTTAGGTCAGAGGGGTCCAAACACAATCTAATTTTCCCATTAGGGCGTTCAACAATAACTATTCTGTTTACACAAGCCTGTGAATTAATATTATCTACTTTAACAATTGCATTTCGTTTTACCAGTCGGTCAAGCTCACATTTCACGGGCTCATACAAAGCATTAGGAAGCCTGGGTGATGGATAACAAATCTGTTCCTGAATATCTCTAGTGGGTATATCAAACAAACCTGGCAATTTACCAGTACCTTGAAAAACTTCGATATTATTATTTATAAAATTATGTTTTTCCCCATCATTTACATTTTCATCTGGTTTCACCTTAAAAACTCTTTTTACCAAGTTCAGCGCCACACAACCTGGAAGACCAAGCAACATGGAATTTGAATTTACAATCACAAAATTTTCATAACATGTGTTATCTTTATATTTACACAGTAAATTTATCATTCCTAATGGTTTTGTTTTGTTACCATCAAATGATTGTAATTTGATATTTGTATCTATCATTTTTAAGTTTAGATCTTTATTAATTTGTTGAAATATTGATAACGGCATGACACTTATCTCTGCACCGGTGTCCAATTTACACTTTACACATTTACTTTCAATATTTATATTTTCATACCAATCGTTGGAGCAGGTATCCTTGAATTTGGTCATCCCGCAAAACAACTCCTCACTACTGCTGGTGTCATCGGGCTTCTCATCAAATTTTACTTCTTTAACTTTCTTGGCATGTTGGGGTATCTTTCTGCAACTGACTGCAAAATGATTGAGTATCCCACATTTTGAACAACGCTTCCCGAATGCTGTACATTGTCTCGGACCATGTTGTTTCTGGCATCTCATGCATGAAAATGTGTTGTTAATCGTCTTTTTCAACACGTCCACTTCTACTGCGGTGCTTGTATTCATTTGCTGTACTTGTTTTTTACTCTGTTCAGATGTCCTGCAGTAATGAATGGCTTTCTCTAATGTTAAATTTTCAATTCGTAAAAGATTTTCTTGAATAGCTTTGTCATACACTCCATGCACGATTTTATCACGAAGAATCTGATTTTCTAAGGGCTCCGAATCTGATGTTACATTGTACTCACATGTTTTAATAAGCTCTCTGCAATTTGTGAGAAACATTTCAAATGGCTCACCATATCGTTGTTTTCTCTCGTTGAATTTAAACCGCTCAAAGCTATTATTAATTTGCGGTGATACGAATAATTTTATCGCGTCGATTACATTTGTATACTTTTCTGCATTTTCATCTTTTATGGGCAATGTCTGTAAAATACGAGCTGCCTCTGGCCCCATCATATTTCGTAAAAGAGAAAGCTTGACTTTGTCTTCAGCCGCATTTTTTCCCACCGCCACCATATAGTCTTCGAAAAGCTGTAGCCAAAATTTAAACTCACTGGCTGCGCTTACACTTTGCAAATTCAGATTAGGAGGCAATTTCACTGACGCCATTTTCTGAGCTTGTTTAGTCTTGATGGCAATAACTATCAAATCCAATCTAATCCAACACTTAACTGTGGATTTGCAGATACTAATAATAATTCTTGATAATATTCAGCCCAAAAAATATCCTAGACTGCGCCATGTTCTATTTTATAATTAAAAGATACACTTTTTGGTAATTTGTTTTATTATACTTTACTTATGGTTAGGTCTTATCAACGACTGCCATGACAGGATGTGTACGGATGTTCATAGACTATATCAAAGTTAAGTGCCATAGACTAGTATAGCTTGGTTTACACAACAGTAAGGGACTACAATACTTTGGGTATTATAATTGTATACGTGTCGTGATTAATCTAAATCTATACTACCACAAACCCTAAAAATATTAAGCAGTTAGAAATTTTATATTTTTTATACTTTGTAAGGTTTTTAAATTATGAGTTAATTTTTCTAAAATAGGTAGGTACTATTATTGGCCATAGGTCCGCAATTTCAGTGGCTTGTCGTATATCACTGGCCAACTACGTATTGAAGTTTATTTAAACCAACTATAAGTTTACTTTACGGGTCAGAATCTAGTTTATAAATAAAAATTGCATCAAACGTGAAACAAAACAACCCGTCTATGATTCCGCTTCTATAGTGTTACGTGTATTAAAAAATACAATTCCCGGCCCTCATCCCAGGGTAGCTCAGAGTTTTTCGGGAATCAAAACTATTGCAGATGTCATCTCTCAATATGCCAAATCACTGTGCCAAGTTTTATTTAAATCCGTTCGGTAGTTGCTTGCGTGATTGCGTAACTTATAGACAGACAGACACACTAAATGCCAATTCCAGAGTGTATAAGAAGTATTCACTAAATTTTATAGTAATAAATTTGCTCACGTTTTTCAATTGAATAAAAACACAAATATTCATTCCTAGGAAATCACACAGTGGTGGTGATAATTTCGAAAAATCCATATTCAGGCAAACGCCTTTTATTGCGTCCATTAAAGGTTGGTCATATTCAAACTTCTTCTCCAAGAATGTTATAAATTTTTCTGTGTCTAGTTTGCCATCTTCTCCGTGGTATCCTAGTTTTTTAGCCAAACATTCCTCTGGATCACACTAAAACATAATTATTTTTTGGAAAACACATTTGACTTTAATTAAATGTAAAAGAAAATCTTTGCTTCGTATTTTTTTGTTATTGATTCATTTTTACTTGGTTATGTCATGTAGATTGCATATACAATCATTATTAAAAATGTTGCCATAGGCACCTCTTTTGATTTAGCTTTCCTTTTTTGTTTTTCCTATATTTAAAAAGACAACGCCCGCATTAGGAATATATATACCTGTGTCGCGGGGGACTTTACAAACATACATGAAACGGACACAAAGAACACCCAGACTCAGAACAACAATTTGATGATCACACAAAGTGTCGTCCCATGTGGGGTTTGAACCCACAACACTCGGCGCAGTAGGAAGCGGCGTGGCGACCACTTAAACCACTACTGTTTTCATCACAAGTTTAAAGGATCAATTTGTCCTTTAAAATTAAGTAAATTTAGAGCTAATGTATGGTACATGAATTTTAAAATAGCCGTTGCGCCTTTAACAATATTTGTTAGAAAAGGAACTTCATGTTTTAAGTGAGTAGTACAGTAATAATTAATATACATATTTACATTGATTTACTTACAGAAAAAACAGGCGCTGGTTTACTATAACACTCATTAATTTCAGATAGGAACAGCATATCCGGGCTTATATGCGTAGAAGTACAACAGCGCATCAAACTCTGTATCATAAATACTAATCGGTTAAGATAGTTAACTAAGAACAGTAATACATAAATAATACACGTACAGTACTCGTATATAGCTTAAAATATACATATTTACGTTTTGTACCAACATGGGCAAGTGCCTGTGATACTCGTATATTTTATTGTTTTACTTATCTGTTCTCATAACAGTTTTGTTTACTAATATGGTGAACCCATAAGTCACCCAATGTCCTAGGAAAGCTCTTCTGTCAAACTTCGTGCTTTTGATATATTGAAGCATTTTTTTTTAAATAATTAGGACTACATGTCTTTGATCAAATTCCTAGTATTATGGACAGTGGCAAACTTAACAGTGTATGGGTGTAACTTATACTTACAGCGTTAATTTTCATACATTTTTTCTGTCTATCATCATCGAAGGTAGCCTAAAAAATTACAAATTTAAAATAAATAATAATCATTTAAGGTAAGAGAAATTTTTAGATAAAAATCTCTCCAATTTTCTTACAAATGTTTGTTTTATTACAAATGTTAAATTAAGTTTTTGAAGGTTAAGTTTTGCTAATAGATTTGATACGTTGAAATAAAATTCAAGCACATTTTCACAACATATTATTATGTTCACGTATGTAATCCATCTCAAATTGGATAAGTAGATTGGATAATGTTCTAACATTTAGAGTGTGTGTATAATTTAGGAGTATGTGGAGGATCTAAATCTGATTTCATTATCACTAGGTACTCTTTGTGTTATGGTAAGCGTTTGTCTGATATTGCTTTTGTAATCATAATAAACTTACCAAAGCCACGACTACAAATAGAAGAAACACAACAACTGCACGGTACATGATTTTTTGTATACGTAATCACCGTGTGTTCTTATTTATACAGTAAACATACTCAAATTAGTTTTAGCAATTCAATTCAATTTGGCCGTTAAAAACCAGAAAATGTGCACCTTCACAATTGTTATTCAATTTAATATATTTTGTAGTTTGGGAGTACAGTCACGTACAATCGAGATAGATTATAGTCGTATTTTGTGTTTGTGCGCCTTTTTATGTCCACCAAATTGTCAAGAAATATTCTTATCATAGAGAACCACAATCTACCTAAGTCGGACAGGATTTGATTGGTGAGAGTTCGGTCGGATCGGAAGTGTACTACAAGGGTCTGTACTGGGCCCACTTTTCTAGAACATTGGAATTAAAATGAAACATCGATGTCTTGTACCTGAAACGATGAAAATCTGTATTGGCATAAGGTAGCATAAGCTGCGAATCGTTACCTATAACGCTATGTTTTTATACTATAGCTAATCAAATAATAAGTAATCGTATGTAGCACGCTTTTAAAAGTATTCTGATTTCGTTTAAAAGCCTACCTACTATTTAACATAGATTCCATGTCCGTATAAATTATGTTTAACTTCCCATAACCTCGCGGATACAAAATACACATAATCATTAAATACATAATGTTTTACAATAACATCGCTTATTCATAAGCAAAAAACTTTAGAGATCAAACCGCCAAACATCACGCTAGAGAAAATGATGTAGTAATTTATATTGTTGTACGACAATGACTGTTACACTTAAATATGAATCACAAAGAGTTCGTGAAGTTAAATATAAAAATCGTGTTTTCAATGTTAACACATTCTTACCAATATTGTGATTGGGAAAATGAGTTTGTTCGTTTATTGCTAAAGTGAGGCTAAATATAAAGTAGGCAAAATGTGGGCACTACAATAATATGCCTCAGTTGAGGAATAGGGGCGTATCTATGTATGAATCTATTTCTTAATTTTTAAATCGGTTATTTCTATTTCAGTAGAATCAGTTTTCGCTTTTATTTAAAAGAATAAAAATAAGCCTACTGTAAGAACGAAAGTTAAGTCTTTCATTTATTTGAAATAATTTATCTTAATCATACATCAAACTTTTCAAATTCCCTGTAAAAGTATGGGCTGGGTACAACCAAAAGTCAATTTTTATGACAAGCTTTTTAGATGATTTCTTATTCATCATTTTGTGTCAATTTAAATATAAAACGCTTGAGTTGCGTACGTTGTATGCATTTGTTTCGTATTTTTCTGACGTTTTGTTATTTATCTTCATCTTTTAAGACCAAATTTTTGTAGTCCTTTTGTGGGCCTTATTTTTTGGACTAAATAATAATATTAATTGATAATTAAATGACTGTATAGTTCTATTTGCAAAGATCAACAGAAAGATTCAAACTAAGGTCTGTAAATACATTTCTTTATTTGCGGATAAGAAAGCGAAACTTAGAAAAAATATTATCTGGTACGAAGACATTTATTTCCAAATACCGTTTTTAATAATCTCATTTAGTTACATTAGACTTTCCAGGGTTGCTTAGAAACGGCATAATTTAAAAAAAAATAGTATTGGAAGCCTGAAAAGCTGCGATAACGGGATGAACTCATAATATTGGGTGCCAGGAAATGAGCGTGTGACGTCATTCGCCAAGTGATCCTAAGGTGAGCGAAATTATATTGGAATAATTCAATTTAACTGAAAACCTCTTCAATATAATATATTATCATATATTATAAGGTGAAAGTTTTTTGTAAGAATTTACGACATGATTCAAAAAGGATATAGAGATAATATTTGTATATATTTTTTTTTAATTTTGTAAGTAGCCAAAAGTGTGATGTAATTGGTAAACCCTTCAGTAATCTTTCTCACTAGGTGAAAAAAGACGAAAAATAATAACGCCGTGAAACACTCCGGTCGAGTGGAATCATGTTTGCCTAAGTATGGACACTTCAGAGGAGTTACACTATCAACTGTAACTCCTCTTGAACACAAGTATTCTGATCACTTAGTTCAAGTTTCATCTTCTTACGCAAATGTCTGGTAGCTTTTTTTACGCATAGTTTATTATTTAAATGTGCAGGACAACCTTTGTGCGGCCAAAACTGATGAGGGGATCGTGACTAGAATAAAGGAAAAGTCACGTGCGGCGAACACGCAATGTGGCAGCCATTGGCGCTTACACCCGACAGGGAGCATGCTTAATTTTATAATCACTGTTGTTGTCTGTTTCTACCAAATTCGAAATCCAGATTTAGTTAAAAACTACCCTATATTTATTAACAATAATAAATATTAAAACTTTTTTTAAAAGACTACTCCCGCAGTAGGAATAAAAGGATATCTTGTGTTGCGGGGGACTTTAAAAACATACATGAAACTTACACAAAGAACACCCAGACTCAGAACAACAATTTGTTGATCACACAAAGTGTTGTCTCAGATGGGGATCGGACCCACAACACTCAGCGTAGTAATAATCGGCGTGGCGTCCGCTTAAACCACTGTACGTTGCATCAAGAGTCGGCAATCATCGGCGCTATTTGTTTTCTCTCCAGGAGAAAAACGAAAAATATTGTACATTAACAAGGTATTACAATAGGTTAAGGTTGAAATATTTTTTAATTTTTAATTTTATTGCGTTATTGATCGTATTGCAGATGGAAGATTTTGTTTCATTTTTTGTCATTAATCACTTAACGTGTAACATATCCGGTACTTTTTGAATTGACAGGTTAATTACTTTCGATAATTTAATGTCAAAACATGTAATTATTGATAATCCAACTTATTTGAATTTACCGAAAGTGTAATTTCCTTAGCCCATGACTGCATGTGTTAAATAGTAAAACAAGTCTTTCAGTAATTTCGAAAATATTCACGATAATATGTAGTAGTAGCTAGTAATAAATAAATAAACTATCAAGTTCTGTCATACTTCCCATTTTTCATTATATAAGAAATTGTGATCTCTTTACTGTGTGTCTATGTGAAATCTTTACAAAACTTGAATAAGCTTTAAGAACATACACGTGTTTTTGTAGATATTTATAATTTAAGAAGGTTTAGAGTATAACCAAGTCTATATTCATTAAGTTTTATGAGTTACTCTTGTGGGAGTTAATATGAACATGTTAGCTGTGTAACTAAGTTTTATCCAAAGAAGCTTCATGTATGCCAATCAAAACTAACAGTATGCTTAGACTCAGCATAAGTTTTAACCTCATCAACAGCACAGAAGCAGCACAAAACATATTCAATTAAGTTACCGGTTGGCAAATACTTGGCGTACCCTGCGTACACTATTCGTTTGACTCACAGCAAATACCTGATGTATTCGCTTGACACGTTTATTGATGCCAATATTTACAAGCGAAGCAATTTCATCGACTTCTCTGATACATGTATATGAATTTAAGTCTAACTCTCACAAATGTATATTTTGAGAGTTAGAAGGTCCGTGGAACTTCCAATTTTCTTTCTGGTCGATTATATGCGACATTCTTAAGAATAATATAATACAGAACCAAGTGTTAACTACCAGTAAAAGAATATTGCTTAATTTAATTCTCTGAATACAACGAGATTTAGCCGAATTAAAAAAAAAAGACAACAGAAATAACGAATCAAGTGTAGAATCGGTGTAGACGCATCTTACAATTTTTGAAAATATGTTTAGCAATTAAAGACCCTGGCGTCAGGCGCGTAAAACGCTGGTTACGATACTTTTACAGTGACATCCATCTATTATTGATATAAAACCTAAACTATCTAACAATTCTAAAAACCTACACTGGAACATAAATTAATATTCAGGAAACGACTGTAAAATAGGTTCCACTGTTAAACGCAAATGGGATTCACTCTAATCCATTTACTTAAGTTAGATTGTAGATTTTGCCCCTTCTCGCCGATAGTGCTTGATTATTGCCTTCGCCTTTACAACAATGGGCTCTTTGGTGTTAAAATCTTCAAGACTATACACTTTGATAGGTTCATAAAAGATCTATCCAAATAATAATTAACTAAGCTTGTAAATATAGCTTAGCATGTTATGGAGAGCATAATATGTTGGTAAATGAATGCTGTTACGTTTACACAATATTTCACATTCCATTAACTTCAGTAACCTAGTATTCCCAATTTGATCTGGAGTCATTGTTCTCGTATAAACAGTGTTTTTGTTATTCTAGAAATATCTCAGGATTCTAGAAAAAAATAAGATAATAATTTATAAGATTTTAATCATGTATTTTGAACTTTACTATTGCAGATGAATGTTGAACGTGGTCCCACCCATTTGCCGTTACCATTGGACATTATCGTAATCATCTGTGCATAAATCTACAATGTTTTTCTTTCTCCTCCGGGCAGTCAGCCTACAAAGCAACGGATCGCCTAAAACCACACTCTGTATTGTAGGGTCATATATGATCTGCCGTCTCCTTCTGCGAGAAAGTTATGCTCGCGAAGGAGACGGCGGAGCGGGACCGGGAGAGGTTTAGGACTCTCCCGGCCCGCCAGGCCCGGGAACGGGCCAGGTACCGCAGGTGACTCAGGCGTCGGAGGTCGCAGAACGACCTACGTCCTCCATAAGCGCAGGCCTGGGGGTGACAGGTGAGGCCATATGTCACCCTAGTAGAAGCAGGCCGAGGTGCGTTGCGAAGCGCGCTCGCTTCCAGGGAGCAGAGGGAACATGGGGTTCCCACACGGGGGGGTCGTCTACCTGTTGTTGTAGATGGCCCGAGGTATGTCGGGGCACCAGGGACTTCCTTTCTAGGGTATACCTGATTCCCCGGCTATTAGTATCCGAGACGGCGTGCGGTTTTAGTCGGTTCGAGTCCGACATGCCCCCGACAGGTGGTATCCGAGGGGATTTCCGCGCGGGAAAAAAAAAAGGGTCATATATGAATCGTTCGCTTAAAATCAAAACTCAATTTTATCTTAAGAACACACGTAAATCTATAGAATATTTACAAGACTATAACTTCAAAAGGATCATAGCCAATTAGTTTAAAATTATCTGAAATAAACTAAGTGCTAAAGATACTACTCGATAAGGATACTTTTTTCATATCACACTAAAGTAAAACACATTTTACTCATAATTCTATGAATGGGTGACGATTCTTAACACATTGAAACCTTTCCGTGCCTCAGACAGCACGTTGAGCTTTCGGTCCCGGTTGTCATAGGAACATCTGTGGTACTCGTTACGGGTAGTTCGAGCCCTAAAAACTCCGACAATAGTCTTTCTACAAAACTTCTAAATCGCCTAGCACTTGTGTTGTTAAGATCTGATGGCAGTCGCTTCGCGTAAAAAAATCGAAGTTCAACCGTATCGTTGTAAACTTAAAACCGATCTCAACTTAGTTTGGGAAAAGAGCTCAGAGAAATAAAAAAACAGAATTTCCTACATTGCTACGGATACATTTTACAAATTATTCATGGGTGGCGATAGTCACTTGCCGTCAGGTGAACTATCTGATTGTATTTCAACTGTTCCATGAAAAATACAATACAAATACAGAATGCGTCAAGCACAATGTTTTGCTCAACTCTTCTGTGTCTAACAAAAAAAACAAGAATTGCTAATAATCGCAATAAGGCCAATAACTATTTGTATAATAAGTAACTTTTGTGATCTACTTAAGAATACCATAAGCTATACTTGTCACATTAATGTTGTTCTCCGATCTCCCTTATTTTAAGTACAATGAAAATTAAACTCTTAATTTAACCCTAGAAGCCCAATCTACGTAAAATAGACGTATACCGCGGCGAAATATCTCTATCTCTTTCACGTTTACCATCGGATCGCTTCGAACTCCCGAACCAACTCAGTAGCCGTCAAGACCTCGCAGGACACGGTTGCGCCATCTTGGTAAGTTCCGCCATTTTGTTACAATGACGATGTTGCACGTCATTTCGACGTATAATTGGGCTTTGCGTAACTTTTGTAATGGTTTCCAATTTTTTATTGTAGTGATTTATTTGAGTTTATTGTTTAGTTTAGGCACATTACTCATAATATACTATTTATTTTAGGTTGAATACAAGATGGGGTCCCGCCAACATCTAAACCAGGACGAAATAGCTTCAATGTTAGAAAATGATGACGATTATTCTCCGCTGGATTCGGACTCCGAGCAAGAAGATTGTTTAGTTGAAGATGATGTCAGGAGTGATAACGAAGACGCGATGGTCGACTTCATTGAGGATACAAGCCCTACAAGCAGACAAGACGACCCCGAAAACCATGTTGCTTCTCTGGAATCGACTAATCTTGAGGTAACTTCATCTACTTCACATAGAATTATTACATTGCCTCAGCGGTCAATACGTGGCAAAAATAACCATGTATGGTCAACTACAAAGGGACGTACGACGGGAAGGACTTCTGCTATCAATATTATACGTACAAATAGAGGACCAACGCGAATGTGTCGCAATGTTTTTGACCCTTTGCTCTGTTTTCAACTTTTTATAACGGACAAGATAGTTGATGAAATAGTCAAGTGGACAAATGTGGAGATGATAATAAAACGACAAAATTTGAAAGAAATTTCGGCAAGCTACAGGGATAAAAATGCAATGGAGGTCTGGTCGTTAATTGGAATACTCACTCTGACGGCTGTTATGAAAGATAACCACCTCTCAACTGATGAGTTGTTTGACGCTTCATTCTCTGGCACCCGGTAGGTATCGGTAATGAGCCGAGAGAGCCATATTTAACATTCCGTATTTTACGGAATGTTAAATATGGCTTTTGTGAACTCCTATATCATATACTATCATAATAAGATAAATAAACAAGAAAAACCAATGAGCCGCAAAGATTTTATGAAAAAATTAAGCACAGACTTGACGGCACCTTGGATGCAAAAACGACTGGAGGCGCCCACTTTGAAGAGGACTCTACGTGACAATATAACAAATGTTTTAAAAAATGTGGTACCAGCATCTCCAGAAAATAGTAATGATGAGCCAGAACCAAAGAAACGACGCTATTGCGGATTTTGTTCATATAAAAAAAGGCGGATGACCAAAGCGCAGTGTTGCAAATGCCAAAAGGCCATATGCGGAGAACACAATATTGATATTTGTCAAGACTGTCTATAAAGGCTATTTTTTTTATGAGACTAATATAGTATTATTACAAGTTAATTTAATTTTTGAAAAAAAGTTTAAAACTAGTGATTTTTGTCAAAATATCCTAATTATAAGAAAAAGAAAAAGTTTTGAAGTTTTTGTTGATTTATTTTTTATGATTCAATAAAAGTACTATTATTGTGTTAATAAAGATTATATTATCCTAAAAAGCATTTTATTTATTAATGAAAACTGTATTTTTAATAAACTAATCCCTTCGATAGATCATAACTAAAAAATTATAGAAAATAGAGCGATTTTATTTTTACACGTTATTTTTACGTATGATTGGGCTTTATAGCCAGTGAAATATGATTGGGCTTCTAGGGTTAATGGATTTTGAGTCTTGTGGGTTATGGCACAACTAGAAATTCAGTCTATACACCGCACCATCATTAAAATTGGTGGATTAACATCAAATACAAACAACCGGTGATCAATAGGATGTTAATATTTAATTTTATTATGCTATGAAGAGAGAATTTTGTGATGATAATATTTAATTATTTTGCAAGCATCTGAACTGCCTTAAGTGGTGGAGTTTATGGAGAAAATGATATAAACACGGCCTTTGATTATTTTCATGAAAAGTTTTGCTTACTCTACAAGTTCTGCTTTACTAAAATAAAAAAAAAGAATTTCTACCAAAAATCAAAGTTTCAGGTAACAAAGGGTATTAGGTATAGCTGTCTATAGGGCCTAAATATTTTGTTTTTTATTTTACTTGTACGAGTATTAGTGCCATTAATATTATTTTATTGATGATCTTAAGTTATTATTTATATTTCGATTGTGACTTTGTTTTTGATTGATTTTACAATTTTTATGCAATGAGGTTCTTCGATACTTTTTCTGCCACCAGACGGCGCTTCGTATGCGTCAGGTCCAAACAGCTGTCAGATAACTCAGATTCTTCCCGAACGTATTTTTTTAGTGAAATTCTATGAATTTGGAAGTGTTATTGAGTTTATTATAGATTACGGCCAGAGAAAGGTTGCCGAACTGAAGATTGAGCTCAAAAAGAGAGGCGCAAAAGTTTTATTTGCACACATAGGCACTGCACAACACTGTGGCATTTTAGAAAACAATATTCCTTTTGTAACGTTTTTAAGAATGAATAAACCAAAAAAAAAAGATCGAAAAATACAAATCGTGTATGTGTTTTGACAGGTGGTTGGACCTGACGCTACAGTGCTGCCATCTCACGTGGAACATTTCAGAAAACCCTCATTGGTAACGATCACTGAATTTTATTTTGCATGTCATTATGACTAAACGTTAGCACTTATATCTTCTATAACAATTTATATACAACGTTTAATGGCAAATTAACTATTCTATTCTATTTGAACTTAATGGATCTTAATGAATAATCTTAAAATATATAAGGCACATTTAATTTAAAAGTCTATTGAGAAATCTTAAATATCTACCGAAACTACAAGCTTAATCGATTATTCATGAATTCAGCCCTGGATTAATTTTATTCTGGTCTGTTGAACTTTTAAGCGAATTTCGATAGAGTATAAATATTTATTACAATATTTTACAAAAGTTGGTATTCAGTTCGTGAAGTCATTGAACTTAAGTCTTTATATTATTTTCTGCAGAAACAGAAAAGATCTAATAATATTATTTACTTTTAGAATTTATTACTAAGACTATTTCAGCCTTATAAAGCAATGGTTACGTCTTAATCATCTAAAAACTATTAATCATCATCATGATTAATGATAAATGAAAAAATATTTTATTATTATATGCGGAATTTAAACAAAAAAGACGTTCACTGCTGGACATAGGCCATTTTATACTTTTACAGGAAAAGTGAGTAGTACTTATTACAACCAGTAGTAATGTGCGTTTATTTAAGTACGAAAATTTATAATTACAAGTACGTTTTACCATACTAGCGTGAATATTGTTGAGCGAGCTGAGAACTATTGTTGCGAGAATAGACGTCAATCAGTCGTTAACTTGAGCACTTTTTTTTTAATAATATATTGGTTTTTTAGCACTACTAGCTGGGGAACTAGGTGTACCCTAGAAAGGAAATCCCTGGTACCATGACGTACCTCGGGCTATCTACGGCGGGTAGACGACCCCTTCCTGTGTAGAAACACCCATGTTCCCTTTGTGCTCCGAAAGGGTGCCGCACTCTGCAACGCGTCCCACCACCACTCCGGCCTCCTTCTGCTAGGGTGACAGATGGCCTCACCTGTCACCCTCAGGCCTGTGCTGATGGAGGACGGAAGTTGTTCTGCGACCTCCACCCACGCTGGGCATTCTGCCATCGTGTGAAGCAATGGGCGTTAGGTCCTTGCAGATCAGACACAGGTGATCCCCGAAGCATCCTTTCCCGGTGATCACCTGCGTCAGCTGGTATGAGAGGGTCCCGTGATGCCTCTCGAGCCAAGCCTCCATAATGGGACTTACCGCCACGATTATGACGTGCCCGACACTAGGTTGCCCAAGTCGTTCCTTCCACTTCTACGAGAATCTGGCGGGGTTGGGATTTCATCACTGATATAGAGCCACAAGGGCTCTTGCTTCCAGGTCCCATGGTGGAGTTCCAGCCAGGAGACTCGCCGCCTCAAAGGAGATCATGCGGTAAGCCCTTATGACCCTGATGGCCAGCACTCGTTGCCGTCGTCGCAGCAGTTCGACGTGTCTCCCAAGACTTTGTATAGATTGAGGAACGATGGGTCTTAAACTTGGTCCGTCCATCTTGTTGGTGCACGACCGCGGAGGTCATTTCCTTTCGGTGTTCCCAACCACAATAAGTTTTTCTAAATTTTCTTGAATATATATATTTATAAATATTTTCTCCGATAAATGAAAATATGTGTGGTGGCACATGTTGGACAAGCGAGTTTTAATTTGGAGCTGGGTCCTTATTGATACATTTGTGGGTTTTAAAGTTCAAGTTACCCTTAGCATACATCTTCAGCACTACATCTCGAATGCATCTATTCTTTGTCATTCGCTCCATACAGATAGATAGGGAATACCAGAGCTCGTACCAGTCTAATCTGTGTTTAAGACCAATTCCTACTTTTAACGTTATTAATTCCCGGAATGTTGCAAGTGTATTTTTTGAGCTTCCTAGTCCGATCTATTATCATCACCTTATTTTTAATTCTGTTCAGCACCAGACCTGGCTTTTAAATATATTCTGAATATTAATTTAACCCTGCCATAGAGCCTTGATGAAAATTCATTATACGTATTGTAATAAAACTTTAAAACTGGAGTGTGCATCACTCTACTGAATTTTTCTTTGTGAAAACTTTCTTTTCTGTTTTACTGAACACTGTTAATGTGCGCTGTATTTCATAATTTTTTTCATTCCCGTCTTTTAAAAGCATTATGAAAATAACCCAAAATAATAAGAAAATTAACCTAAATTATAACTATAATATTTCGCATATTAGTAGTAACTTGATTAACAACATATAATTACTTTCTCGCTCAAACCTTACCAAAAATCACAAATTGGTCGAATCTCGACCGTTTTAAATGTCTTATATCCTTTACCAACTTAACGTCAATTGTCATTAAACAGACTTTTGTGCCAAAACAGGTTAAAATATATACCGAACCCCTTTAGCTTCAAGATAGTTTACATTTTCTTTAATTTTATGCACTTCTACATTTAAATATTAAGCATTCTAAATAGGTACTATAGTAGCCTATGCCCGCGGCTCCGCCCACGTATGTGTGGGTTATCGCGGTAAAAACCGGTACCCTTTGGTATTCGCTGCTAATGTAGCTTTCCATTGCTAAAATAATTTTTAAAATCGGTTTAAGACGTGAAAGCGTAACAAAAAACACTCTTTCACATTTATAATATAAGTATGGAAGTATGGATTTCGGTACTTGACCAAAAGTTTATTTTCAATTCATTAAGAACTTTCTTAACGTATTAATAAGTAAATTAACTATAAATATTAGTCAGAAATTCTTTTAAACAAAATTGTTTCAGAATATAAGTATAAGAAAACTGTACAGTAGATGGTATTGTTTTCTGACCAGTTAAACAATCCATGGTTACGTATTACGTTGGACATAGAGGGAAGTACATATTAGCATACAAATAGCTCTGTGATCCGTTCTAGGCCACTCGGAGCGTGAATGCTATCAGTTGTAATTAAGCTGTCGTCGCTTGTCTAGACTGAGGATAATTTTCGCCTGTCGAGTAAAGTATCGTGAGGTGATTACATACTTTTCGTGTCTATTTTCCCGGTGATTGATAGTTTCACGGGGGTTAATCTTCGAAGAAGTAGAGCGAATGTTAAGTTGAAATGTCACTAAATGTTGACACTCTGCGATCTTCTTGCATGCGTCAAGGTTATTATTGTATATTTGTATGTATAGGTATATGCATATGTATATGTATTTATGTATGTATATGTTATTAGAGCTTTCTACGTACTTCGTTTACTACTGACTTCTTATACAAAGACTGCCACACTACTACTGAATTTTCTTGACACAAAAATTCAATAGATTTGCTGTCGAATTTAAAGCTTCATTGTCGTACTCAATAT